GCAAGGATAAAAACCCAATTCTCTCAAATATGGGTTTCTATGGTGTCATTCAAGAAATTTGGGACCTTGACTACCAAAAGTTTACAATCCCAGTCTTTAGGTGTGATTGGATTGATAATACTTCTGGTCTTGTAGTGGACGAACTTGGATTTACCCTTGTAGATTTGAGTAAAATTGGACATAGGAATGACCAATTTGTTTTGGCTTCTCAAGTCAAACAAGTATTTTTTGTTGACACCCGATGCATCGTGGTTGGTCGGTAGTGTTATCAATGCCTAATAGAGAATATAATGATGTTATTGGTGATGATGTCTTAGGTGATGTGAGAATTGAGTGTGAGCCATTTACTAGGGGGATGCCAAATGTTGACACATTTGATGAAGTGGTGGTTGAGTTAGGGAGTCAAAATATTCGAGATGGGTGTGAAGATATATGGGTTGAATGATGCTTTATGTAATTGGCAGTGTATGACATTAATTTGTAATATATTGTAATGTGATTTCTTCACTTTCATTATACAGGTTTTGGCCACAAAACAATCAGTACAAAAATTACTGGTTCCAGATTACAAACACGACGGTTTTGATAAAGAACCGCCATGTAATTCAACATAACACGTCTCCAATCCCATAACACCGACGTCTAAAAGACGAGAACTTTAACCTGAACGTTACAAAAGACGACGTCGTCATGAATTTACCACGTCGCATGTTCTTTCATAAACGAAGTGGAAAAGGATGAATTCACGACGGTATTTGAAATCCATTAAATTTGTCGACGTTAAGATTTATGAATTAGACGACGTTAATTTTTTTAATGAAGACGTATAAATTATTAAACACGACGGTCTTTTTCATGGTACCGACGTTGTATATAAACGACAACGTCGTCCTCATAAATTACTGTGTCGTAATTAATGACCCCATCATTTTTTCCACGTCGTTTATTTTCAAAATATGACGTATAAATTCTGTAATACGGCTCTCATTTATTTGGAACCGACGTTGTTTATTCATTTCAACGTCGTCTCAGTAAATACATACGTCGTAATTAATGAACCTGACATCTATTTCCACGTCATAATTCGTAGAAAAATCGAAGTGGAAAATTTATTTTACGACGGTATTTGAAGTCCATTAAACTTGTCGACGTTAAGATATATGCATTAGACGACGTCAATTTTTTAAATGAAGACGTATAAATTATTAAACACGACGGTCTTTTTCATGGTAACGACGTTGTATATAGACGACAACGTCGTCCTTATAAATTACTGTGTCGTAATTAATGACCCCATCATTTTTTCCACGTCGTTTATTTTCAAAATATGACGTATAAATTCTGTAATACGGCTCTCATTTATTTGAAACCGACGTTATTCATCCAATTCAACATCATCTCTGTAAATACATGCGTCCTAAGTAATGACCCTGACATCTATTTCCACGTCATAATTCATAGAAAAATCGAAGTGGAAAATTTATTTTACGACGGTTGTGGGAAATGTTGTGACGTAGTAGGTGTCAATAACGTCGTCTATTATTATTGTAAAGACGTCGTATTTATATTTGTCGTTAAATATTTATTTAACGGCATGAAGTTTAAGTTCTCGTCATTGTATGTTTATCTTGCAGCCATGTTCTGTTAATATATGTCATATGTTTCCTTTTTAACGACGTTTTTTTTGTTGGAGTTGGTCGTCTATTCTCATCCTCGACTGTTTTTTTATGTCTTTTTGCAGCACAAAGACGTCGGTTTTTATTTTTTGATGACGTTTTTTGTTTTAACAACGACGGTTATTCACCGTCGTGGTTTGGTTATGGAAAAGATGTCGGTGGATTCCACGACCATTTGAAAACAGAATACACGACGGTGAATTCCCGTCGTGTTTTTCCTTTTTTTGTAGTAGTGAGACGAAGAGATCTATATGGTTCAACCAATGGGTTTTGAGGTCAAAGGACAAGAACGCAAAGTTTGCCGTCTCAAACGTTCTATTTATGGCCTCAAACAAGCGTATAGACAGTAGAACATTATATTTCATACCTCAATCATCTCCTTTGGTTTTGAGATGGTTGAAAAAGACCACTGTGTGTATCTAAAATGATCCAAGGAAAATGTTCAGATTCTTGCATTGTATGTTGATGACATTCTCATAGCAGGAAATGACATGGATTCCATTGTCGCCACTAAGAAGTGGTTGTCCTCTGATAGGATTTTTAGTACCTTTGCAAACAGAGTTAAAATCACGTAGAATACTTGCAAGAATACAAGGCTATTGTAGTATATATGCTCATGCAAGGTCGTTCTCCTCAAGGACTATTTAGCAATTTATGTAAAAACAAATTCCAATTTACTACCTAAAATTAAAGTTTGAGAAAGATGTTTGAGAAATTGATTGATACTAAAAATAAATTCAAACAAAAAAAAACATGATCGAAGGAAAGAGTTTTAAAATACCAATTTATAAAAGCACTAGGGTTCCACCATCACCTAGCAATCCTATGAATTTTTACCAATTACTTATGATTCGCACATGCCACTTTGAAGTTTAGGTTTTCCTAATTTATATTCTACTTGGAACCTCCAACATAGAACGTATATCCAACATGCAGCCTGTCCGGACGTTTGGATCAAATCTGAACATGAAAGACTCATTAAGTTTTGTGAAAACCCTTTGAAAAACCATGCAACCCTTAAGACGTGATGTTCATCTTAAGTGAAATTACAATTATTAATCACAAGAAGCCAACGTCAATTTCAGGGAACCTTCCGACCAAAATTGCATTGAATTACTTTTCTAAAGATCCTAATGGTGATTAGGCATTAAGACAATTAGATAGTTTAAAACAGTGATTAACAATTCAAAGTAGGCATACACTCAATCATAAGCAATTAAATGAAAATCACATATTCATGCTAACGTTCAAGGCTTCACCCTAGCAAAACAAATTTAGTTACGCATATTCATAATTGAAATCCAAGAAAATATCATTCGAATGAATAAGAATAAAAACACATGAAAGTCGCGAAAACCCAAAACCCTAGCAATTGCTCCAAAAGCCAAAAAGAAGTTCTAAAATTTCTGTGAAAAGGAGTTTAAATATATCCTAAAACCTAGCTGCCCAATCCCCACAAGAAACTAAGTTAAAATAAAATAATACTAGGAAATAAAGTCCAAATTGGATTAGGAGAATCTGCCCACAATCTGCCCAGGCTCGTTTCGGCCTCAAATCTCCTCCAAATCTGGCCCAAGATAGCTTGTTTTAGAGATAAAAATATTCCGAACACTTCTCCAGAAGGCCACGAACCCATCCGAGGCCATCTTGGGCTTCAAAAATGCAATAAAAGCCCAAAACGTCATTATTCCAGCACTGCGCACTACTCCTTTATTTTATTTCCAGAAAATAACCGCATAGTATAAAAATCTGAAATTTTGATACGAACAAGCTAAGTGACTCACGTACGTCCTCCAAGTGGAATTACTCCAAAATTCATCCATTTGATTGTGATTTGCTCCAGAGAAAGTCGAAAGTCTATATTGGAAATATAGTTCAAAGTATCAAAATTCTGCCAAAATATTAACCAAAATGTACTAAGAATGGGGTTAAATATATAATATAAAATATACCCATCAAAATACCCCCAAACTTAGCTTTTTGCTTGTCCTCAAACAAAACAATACTCAACAAAAATAAAAACTTAACAGACTAGACATCTGGCTAACACTTAACCAGGACAAAATTTCCACCTTCAAGTTGCAATTCATAGCAAATTTTAAAAACTAGAGCATCCGTTAAATAGATCCAACTAATCCCACCACAGAGTATAAGCTATTTAGAATCAATTAGAAAAGAATTCACAAACTTCCTTTAGTGTAACGTGAACCATCATAGTAAGGAGACTCGACCAAAACCCTTACCTCTCATCCCTTTTATTCATACTTCACGCACTTACTTCACACTCTTTTTTTTTCTTTTTCTTTTTCGACTCTTTTTTTTTCTTTTTTTTTCTTTTTTTTCAGTAACAGTAGTGGTTGTGCAATGTCAGTTCCCTTAAGCTTTCGATCCAACCCATGTAATGAGCTTTAGGTCAATGACTCACAAACCACTAAGGCTTTAGGGTACTAGGTGTAGAACACCCTTAAGGACTTATTAACTCAAGATGAAAAGGCTACGAAACCAACTAACCACCCTGCCTCATACCAAAATTCTACCGTTTGACTCAAGAATCACTACTGATTAGGTAGGACTGGCCCGGCTACTAGCAAAGCTTCGGGTGAGGCAATTATTACTTCATAACACATACTAACTTTATTTATATTGAACAAAAATTAAAACACACTTGGACAAAAAGTAAGTATTTCAATCTCACTCCCCAAAAACCATGCTGGTGTGATGTGCAAATATAAACTAGGAAAGACAAATAGAAAAACAAAAAAAAAAAAAAGAAGAACGGAAAATAAAATAGGAAAGACAAGAAACAGAAAATAGAAAAACAAGAAACGAAAATAGAATAGGAAAGAAAATACCCGGAACTGGACACCTTGGGGATTCAAAGGCAGGACAAAGGAGCTGGGATCTTGCAAATAGGCGCTGACCAACTCCTCCAACTCCACACTTGTAATGAATATGAGCGACAGCTACAATATAACCTGATGTAGCTGCTGCATCTGTCAATGGAAAATTCTAGCTATTCTTGAACACGCATGGTATTCCCTCCCTGCATCCACTGGCCTCAAGCCCAGTGCCAACCTAATCTGTTTCTTCTGTCCATTCCTCTTATTGCTTGCCTCTCGGATTGCAAATTAGAGAAGCATCTCTGAACAAAGTATCTTTGCGAAAAGCATCCTTGTGAAACATGATCTGATTCATGAAAAGCAACTCAGAAAAGCATCTTTGATTTCTCTCAGTTGAAACCCATATTCATCTCTGCCCTCTCCCCTCGTCATTTCTCTCAAGAACTCAGGAGCCTTGGCTTTCTTTCTAAACAATCATGTGGGTTCATCTGTGTGAGGGGGCCAGATCCAGAAGACCTTCAACAACATCAAAATCACCATCCTTTGTGGCTTCATCGAGGAGACCAATCGGATCCTCGCGAGATCCGGTCTGACTCCTACCCCATCGACCCGGATGAGCTGACCCAGTTTTGTGCATCTCGTAGGTATACTTTCGAATCCCTGCAATATATATTTTTTTTCTTGAGCTGATAGTAACAGTGGTACTCAGTTTTGTGGTGTCTAGATATGTGATGTAAGTATGTTCCGCATCCTACATCGCAAAACTGAGCTGCATAAAATTAACTGCTCAAAATTATATATATGTGCTAGCTCTGCAACAACTACCTCCAAACTTGCATCTTTGAGTGAGCTCATGTGAATGGCTTTAACTTCCAGTATAGTGTAGATGTGGTGATGTTAATGTAGACTTGCTACTGGGTGCATGATTCCAGTATAGAATTGCTGCTGGGTGCAGGATTCCAGCATAATGATCCATATATATTAAATATACTACAAAAAAAAAAATATATATATATATATATATTACAAGGGACCAAGTGTAGAAGGGGACTAACCCTGGATTATAAGGCACCAAGTAAAATTAATCTCCATCTGCGTTTTCAGGTGTTCTGAGAGATGTTTTGAACGGTGAGATAACGTTCCAGATTGAGAGCTGACTTGTCCAGGGTCCATGAGGCCAACAAGGTTTACCATATTTGCCATTTTTAAATAGTCAAATCGGTACCTAATTAAATATATGAAATTTAATTAAATGAGATTTTAATTTAAAAGTAAGGAAATGTGAAAAAAAAACAAAATTAGATTTCTAGAATTACCTCATGTATACTGCAATCACTGTGGATCCAATCTCAACCATGGAAGCAAATTGTAAAATGTCTTCACTCAAGAGCCAAGTATCATGATCAGTGCCAAACATTTCCTCTGGCATGTGAATTCTAATGGTCTTGTTAGCAGGCTTCAACTTGGTCTCGGCATATTGGCATAGGCCTAACAAAGGAGCTGGCATGTCAAGCTTTGAGAGATCCTGTAACAAGAAATAAATAAAGAAATAAAAGTTAGTTTTGTACATGAAGTAAAATAAACGACTCCAACAAATCTACAAAACTTACGTGGTATATAATATCAACGACGGTTTCTAAAACATACTGATGGGGTAAAGGTTATAGACGACAGTAAATACATAACAATCATTGTGTAAATGTTATAACGGCGTTACACAATAGAAAGGTTGTCTAGGTTAAAATAGACGGTGGGTTGTAAAATAAAACCCGACGTCTATTTAAAATTTAAAAATCAGAAAAAATCAAATGTCAGAGATTTTACCATTTCATCTTGACGGTTTTCAGCAGCATCAGCATCATTCGTGAGATTGTCTTCATCCAATTCAAGGGCTCTCACATTAGAGCAGCTTGCTTTGTCAGACATTGGATTTTTTGAGCTTTGCTCTTGAGGAATTGGAGTAATTGGTGTAGTTGGAGTTTTACCGAGCAAGTTGGGATCAAAGTTGGGAATTAGTTGACTGAATTGTTTCAACAAAATTTCCCTCTCTGCTCTAACTGCCTCCATAACACTTTCCTTTGCCCTGGCCTCCATCTTTTTGGTTTCCTCTCCCACTGCTTCCATAACACTTTCCTTCAATTTGTCAGCAAATTTTACTCTCTGCTGTCTCGGCAAATTGAAGAATTGAGTTGGGGAAACCCCATCTCCAACACCTCTGACCCTCCCACCATGCTCAGGGGTTCCCAAAGCCAAGGTCAAAACATTGTTGCTCCCAGAGACAGTCAGAGTGCCCTCAAAGACTTGTTTTTCAAACCATCCTAAAAGTGAGAGAGAGAATGTTAGTGAGTGAATAGATAGTAAAACTGATTAAATAAATTAATTAATAAAATTATTAACCGACGTGGTAAAGTGGTTATGATGACGGTTTATTTAACAAACAGACGCAAAAAAATCATTTAATATGTCTGCCCAAAACTACCGTCGTTTTGTATACATTAAAACGTTGGCCCATGAAATAACCGTCGTTTATTTGACATCAGAGATAAAAACACTTAACCACAATATTCATTGATCCATAAATAGTGTACAAACCAATTGTAGAGAAATAGAGAGGGAGAGAGAGTGTGTGTGCGTGTGAATATGAAGAAAGTTCAAAATTTAATTTAAAAAACCTAACATAGAAACACAAAACCGTCATTGTAATTCAATACAGACGTTGGTTTTATAAAAATACTAACGTTATATCTTTTTTAAAAGGCGGTGAATAAAAACCGTCATGGGATTTCATGTCTAACGACGGTTAATAAAAAGATCGACGTCAGAATGAAAAATAAAACCTTTGTTTTACAAGTTTAGAACAGAGTCAGTGAAACTTACGATTAATTTTGCTTTCTCTGCAACCTTTGGATCAGGGATGTTTCCCTATTTATCTTCTCTTGCCTTCTTCCATAGCAAAGATCGATCGATTTCTTCACCGGGCATGGTTTCTTCCAATTGATCCTCCAAACCAACGTACCATTTTCGAGACAACCTATGGTTGTACTCGCATTTCTCCCTTCTCTATGACTGATCAAAATGCACAGCCTCAAAATCTGGGGATAACCTTGAAGCTACAAAGGCATCACATTGAGATTTCTCTATGAAGTTATAAAGTTGAAGGGGCTCTTTTAACTTCTTCTTCTCATTTGCAATTGGAAGGATAAACTGCCTAGTTAAGGTAGACTTAAAATCCTTCCATTTTTTGGCGGCAGACAGCACCATCTTCTGGTCCCCTTCCCCAACAACATAAACCATTTGAATAGCTCCCTAAATCTGCTCCTTCAGGTCCTTGGGCAATTGAGTCCATTTCTTGTCCACAAGAGGGACTTTGGTTCGTGCCAAAACACCAATGTAACTCTGCATCTCAATAGCAGCCTTGCCATGTGATCTGCCACTTTTATTGTACTCAATCACAGGCTTAATCTTCTGGATTTTCCTCTTCACAATACGACTCATTGTGTTGATACCACAAGTCGATTTCGTCACTTCATCAAATGTCGCAGAGCTTGGGTCTTTCTCGGAAGATGAAGTAAATCTCATCTTCTTTGCGGGATTGCTTGGAATAGATTTGGATTCACCCATTTGTGCCTTTGAAATTGCAATGTCCTTACCTTGACCTTTTGACACTTGAGCCTCCTTACTTTGAGATTTCGAAACCATGTTTACAGAGAATTACAAACTACAAGAAAAACGACGGCGGTTAGGTAAAATACAGATGTAAAATGAAAGTTCAAACGACGGCAAACAAACATAACCGTCGTGCTAATCTACAGAAACATGGATGTACTAATACGACATGGTCATTAACTTAAAACGACGGTAATTAAATAAAACCGTCGTCATATTATAAGTTCATAAATAAAAAAACAGCCCAGTTTTTATCTCTCCCACGTTCGTTTCAAATCAGACGACGGTTTTCTCTTTCAAACGTCGTATTATGAACAGTCGTGCTATTGAAATAGCACGAATTTAATTACTGTCGTGGTGTGTCAACAAAAACGTCAAATTTTAGAAAAACTCGTCGTCCTCACATGACCCCTGAGTGGGAACAGTGAATGATTTGGCATTTTCAAACCTGAGTCTTGTTTCAAACATCAGTGGGACTCATTCTTTTTTTCTTTTTTTTTTAAAAAAAACTTCAAATGAAAGGGAAAGTGAAGAAAAAAAAACGGAGTGAGAAAGTTTTCAAACCTTTGGCTTGCAAAGAAAGTTTTCGGAAATGAGAGGGAAACTGAGAGAAAGAATGTAAAAGTTGAGAGGGAAACTGAGAATTAGAAACGCAGCTTTTCGGAAATGAGAGGGAAAGTGAGAGAAAACTGAAAATTTTAGAGAGAATGTAAAAGTTGAGATCAGGTGACCAAGAAGTTTATATAGTGTCCGAAAGATAAATACAATGACGGTAGTCATAAAAACCGCCCTAGGATGTATTTACCACGACATTAAAATAACATCAACCGACGTGGTTAGTATAAAAGCCTTTTGACTTTTTGTATTCCGAAAACGATGTGGTTAGTTGGGTGCTACACGTCAAAAGTTTACTTTTGAAGAAGTGATATTACAGGTTACCACGTCATTTTTTTATATGGAACAGATGTTGTTTGTCTAAACTTCGTTGCCTTTAGTTTAATGACCGACGTTGTGATGTGCTCAAATATTCGACATTTATCTATGATATTTCTCCATGTTTACACCTTTATTTCACTCTTTTATATGGGTTTTACATTCTTTTATTACTTTTTTAGGTAATCACAAGCGAATGGTGGAAAATGAGCTAAAAAAAGAATGTTGAGTTTGAAAGGCCTGTGCAGATCAGTCAAGTTCACGGATTATACTGTACTGACTCAGGAAGAAACAGAAGCTGAGCCACACATTCTTGGAAAGCTACGGATGTCTATTTTCTAGGAAATTTTACGGTTCGTGAATATCATTTTTCTAGAGGAAGTTATGGTGGTTTTAGTACAGGTAGTTTGGGCTGCGCGGGAATCTGCAATCTTTTCTGAAGTCCAAGTTTTGAGGCCCAAAATCACATCAATCGGGCCAATGATGAATATTCCTATTTTCCAGGGGTTTATATGTCTGAATAAAAATATGTAGGGTTGGAGAAACGTGGAGAAACGTGGAGAATACAAGGAGAAAAAGACGTTATCTTTGGAGAAGGGAAAAAAGGCGGCTGCTATGCAAGTAAGGAGCTCATTTTGGAGTCGTAAAAATAGAAATAAAAAGAGAGAAGAAGAGGGCAGCCGCACCATCCCATTCTCCTCCATCCTTCAAGGTTCCAAAGGTCTGAAAGGCATAAGGAAGCGAGGAGAAACGTCAAGGCATCATCCATTCACTCTGGCTGACCAACACATCATCAAAGAGCTATCTTCTTCCTCTTTTTATTTTCTATTTTGTATGTTCTTGCTGTCTATTTAAATTATGGGTAACTAAGTACTTTAGTTAGGGCTCAATTGAAGCCCTAATCATGTTTCTTTAAGGATTTTGATATGTCTTTGCTGTAAACTACTTTTGTGATGCTTAATTGATTAATTTCAGATTATATTTTACTCTTTACATACGTTATGTTATGCTTGATCACCATATGCATGTTGTGTATTGAGTTTGTTACATAGGTAAATTTAGATGACCGAGTCTTGTGCCTATGAGAGAGTAACAAAAGAACTGGTTATAAGTTCTTGGAATTAATCATCATGAATAACTATAATAGATACCATGTTCTAGGAGTTGTGTGTTTGTCAATTTCCATTGTGTTATGTGTTCTTAAAGTGCAACTTAGTAGATACCATGCTAAACACTTTAAGAATGAAAAGAGTTAGCGTAGATACCCGTGCCTAACTTGTTGCTTAGGGAAATCAATAATTTAAAGAGTAGATATCATGCCTCTAGGTTGACAAACATGAGCATCTAAAATCTGTTTTGTAGCATTGTGCATGTCGTTTGCTTAAGGAAGAAGATTAGTGGTGAACATCGAATCCCTAATTGGTTTTCTCATTGTTTTAACCTTAATCCAATTTTATTTTTAATCAAATGCTGTTTTTAATATTTTGCTTCGAAATTTTCAGTTTTCAAAATCATTTTAAAATCATCTTTTTGAACACCTTGTCTACACTGTGTGCCTTTGTGTATTGCACCTTAACTTTGATTAGAAATCTTAGGGTTTTGAAATAAGTTTTTTAGGGTTTTCTTTCACTTTTGCATTCTTAGTTTGTGCCATTTAATTAGTAGTTCTAGGAAATTAATTTTAAACACATATTAATCCAATCCTCGTGGGAATGATCTCGTATTTGCTTTCTATACTATTTGTCTGATCTTGTGCACTTGCGAGTTAAACCGTGCATATAGTTGCTTAATTTTTAGGTTGCTATACACGTTGTTTGTCTTAACCTCGTATGTTTAATACATCTTCCGTATTTCAAGAACCGACGTCGATTCCTTTTGTTAAATAGCGTTAGGTTTAATATAACCGACGTGGATATGAAATGTTTTTTATAAATTGAGTTTTTTTTCACGAGTTCTTTCAATTTCAGTTTTCAATTAAGGTTCCAACCCTAAAATTCTTCTTCTTAGGAGGCAATTGTTTGGATGTTGGTGTGTGTGTGTGTATGTTTGTGTATCTGAAAGACACAAACATGCACACATCACCAACGTTCAAAAAATTGTCTCTCTGAATGCAAATCTGTGGCTGCCGTCGTCAAATTTTAGAGGCAATTGTTTGAATGTTGATATGTTTGTGTGTTTGTGTATCTGAAAGACACAAACACACAAACATCATCAACTTCCAAAAAATTATCTTCTAAATGCAAATTTGTGGCTGCCGTCGTCAAATTTTAGAGGAAATTTTTTGGATGTTGATGTGTATGTGCCTTTGTGTATCTGAAAGACACAAAGACACATACATCATCAACCTCTAAAATATTATCTTTCTATGGTCCGATTATGATGAGGAACAGAGTTCCATCTAGTAAGATTTCGTAACTCTAGGGATCTCAGAAAAATCTAATTTTGTCAGCGGTTTTCTATATAAACCGTCGTGGTTATTCTCAATTCTTGTCATTAAGTTGATCTACCGACATAGGATAACAAAATTCAAGAAATAAGTAGTAAAAAAAAATAACTATTAAGACGACGGTTTAGATATAAGGTAAGACGTATAAAGTGAATAAATACGACGATAATTTTAACTTCATAATGTATCTCTTGGGATCTCAGAAAAATTTGATTCTGTCAGCGGTTTTCTATATAAACCGTTGTGGTTATTCTTAATTCTTGTCATTAAGTTGGTCTACTGTCGTAGGATACCAAAATCCAAGAAATAAATAGTAAAAAATAATAATATTAAGACAACGGTTTAGATATAAGGGTAGACGTATAAAGTTTATAAATACGACGGTAATTTTAACTTCACGACGTGGTAAACTTTATTATACGACGTTAAACAAACCAACGTGGTTAGAGTTAAAGATACCGTCGTAGTAAGCTACAAGAAATATGTCGATAAATTTATCTTTACCGTCGTTATACATTTATTTAATACAGCGGTATTTTGTAATATACCGCCATGGATTCTTTTGAAATTATACGGCGCGGGATACGAAAACTTGGTCGTGTTTATTACGGAGTAAAAACAGTGGTTGTTTCTTTACACCATCGTCTTTACTTTCTACGTCGGTGGATTCATACCTTTTGCCGTTGTTTGTGGAATCAGAGTTTACTTTGAGAAAAACCTTTTTCAATAAGACGTCGTTTTTTTAATTAGGTGTGTCGTTTTTTAAAAACAACCATTGGAATCTCCATTTTTTAGGTGTTTAAATTAATCTTACATGGCGGTTTTATAAAACCGTCGTCTTTTCAAACACAACGACAATTTTCTGTTAAACCGTCGTTTTTTTTCTAGTCATCTTTTTCACTTTTTGTAGTAGTGAGTGCATATCAAAGAGTTGTAGTGAGCTTTACACCCACATAGAGAGAAAACCTCATATCTCCCTAAACACTCTCTTTTAGGCAATCCTTAAGAGCCTTGGTCTTGGGTACGTGGAATTAATGGAGTAACTTTCATAGCCAATCCAACGACCTTGGAGACGAAGAACGTGTAGAATCTTGTTGGCGTGCTTGTGACGTGGAAGCATCTCGGCGGGCTAGTAATTGCAAGCGGCTTTTCACTTGGAATCTTCCGCAAGGTATGCATTGCCTTATTCCGAATATATTAACAGTAATTTACAATTCAGTTTCCTTGCACATCTTTACTAGGGTTTTTAACTGTGTATAAATCTCTCATGTATCACACTTATCAAATTAGTCCAAAATACAAGGTTTACATGATGCATTCAAATTTGTGTCTCCAATGCACACCCATCATTTTACAATATGTAAATAAGCATCAAATATCAATTGCCCGTTGTACATACAATATCCACTAAAATCCAATTTATAAATGCTACCACAAACGATAAATTACACAAAATTAGTTGAAACAAGCTTGAAACTTCTTTTTGGTGCTGCCTCTTTAAGCTAGGATCAGATGCACTTGATGATCATCCAGATTCTGCTCTCCTGCTAGTGATAATTATAAACAACAAGGTACATGAGATGGGTTCAATATTTTACATTAAAAAAAATATTTGAATTAGTAGGGAAAACAAAGACATTAGCAGGAAATAGTAGTTCCCTAAATATTTGATGTACATGAGTTTGCCTCACATATGGCGATTGGGATGCCATCTTTTATGTGATGCCCTGAAACTTTGGTCACATGACAACAGTACTTGCCTCGAGAATCCCGAGAATACAATACACAATCGCCATATCGATATACTACTAAGTATTGTCGAAGTACGTTAAACCCTTTTGTTTAGTCAAAATGGGTTGGATAAGAATGTTATTGATAGTAGAAAGTAAAACAAAATATTTCCATTACACCAACCCCGAAGTTACGAGTTTGTTATAGTATGATAACCACAAAGATAATTTAGAAGCAAAAGAGAGTTCAAAACTAAGGATAGATACAACATAATATACAAGGATTAGATCTTTAGTTAAGGTATTACCTCTTTCTTAAGAACCGCATGCCAATGTTATATAATAAGAAATCATATAAATATGTGAGTCGTTCGGGGAACAATGAAGTAAGCCCTTCTTCCACTTCAGCCTTTGTCTACAAAAATTTGATATGTTAAGATATGTTCTTACATATTTGTATGAAGAAGTTTACAAAAGTAGTTACTGTGATGTGCATACCAAAGTATTTTGTTCTTCCCAGATATGAATGCTTATGTTTCTTGAGTAATTAAGCACTCCCAGTGCATTATCTTCATATATAGTATTCTTAATAGAATTAGCATGGAAGGACTTAAAATCATCACAATTGGATTTTTCAATCGCTGCTTTAATGTTAATCGTCTTGCCGTTGTTGTATTCATACCTCCAAGCATCCCCTTTCTTACTTTGAAGTTCCAGGATGGCATCAATGGGGAAATAAAATCTCTCATTAGACGACATGAGTAGAGGATGATGCCATAAATCATCCAAAGCCACCCTACAAATAAAATTAAATGATTCCATAAAAAAATATAGAAATGGAAAGAAAAGAGAAATTTTTTCTTAAATAGTTCCCATACCCCGTTTTGTCAACCTTGTGATAAAAGTGTTTCAGCTCCACTCTTGTACTATTATCCGTCCCAAGTATTCTCGTAACCAAAGATCTAAATTGGCTCCTATAGGTTGGCAAATTCTCTGTATTGGATGGATTTGGAATACTGACGTTGATCTTTGCTCGATCATTAACGATGCATATGTCATTAGGTGTCAAACAGTGACCACTATGAGATTTCACGAATTCAGGAAGCTCCTCAATGACGTCCCTTTGAAAAGGATATAATAAAAATGTTTAGAAATGTATGTATATACATACATACACACACACATATATATATATATATATATATGAAAAGAAGAAGTTAAACTGTATGAAACTCACCGAATAATATTGCGGTATTTATAGACAACACGATCACCATTCCATGGTGAAGTCGCATCAGGACTCTCTAGCATCTCAGCTAAGGTATAATGGGAATTTGACGGTTCTCTAGTAGCAGGCCCAGTTACTACTGCGGTTGTATCATCCTGGTTGCTAGAGGCTCCTGAAGTAGAAACTTCGGGGAATTCTTTTAAGAATGGGGGAATATCAACTGTATGTTGGGTGGCATTATTCATTTTCGATGCTTTTGTGTAGATGAACAAAGTAAGAATACCAAGAACTTGACGAGGTTTGACAGTAAGAATCCCGCCAAAAAAATTCTATAATACGAAAACAAGCAACTAAGAAGAACAATCCATCACCCATTTATAGAACTCCTTGTATGCTCACAAGCTTGCTTTGGCCTCTTTCCAAGCACTCTTACATAGTTGTGATGATGGTATTGAGAAAACACGTCTTCCAGTCTAAAAATTTAAATATTTTCTGTATCCTTCCTTGCAAAAGTCTAGGGGAATAGAAAAATGGAGAAGAAAGACATTTCAGAGACTGTCAACATAAGGGGAAAAGCAGACGAAAGAAAGATGGTTCTAGGTTTTATTATTTATTATTATTATTTTTTTTATTTTTTATTTTTATAAGCACTCGTCTAAATTATTTTAAATTAATGTAATTAACAAGGTAAAGGGAATTCAAATTTGGGTACAAAGGGATGGTCAAATTACCATAACCAACTAGCTTAACTCACATTATACAAACAAAATGTTTTAATTTTTTGGTCCAACATGTTTTAGTAAATTCCCGAAAGAATAAGTCAATTAATAAGCAAATAACATACAAGAGAGACTTGCACAACGCATCATGGGAACTCCATTAAAAGAATAGGCCGTCGGTACGTATATATATATAGTGGTCAAATAACTAGTATCATAAAGCAACCAATGGAGTTGCTCCTTTCAGTGCGTACTCACCTGAGATGGTTCCAAGTCGTTTGTTGTTTTTAAATCTCCAACCATGCCAACTTGTCATAATCAATCCTAATATGATGGACCTTAATTATGTAGCGTTCAGTTAAGCCGAGTTTTGGTGACAAAACCATATTCAATAGCTATATAATTGGACGCGTACGGAGTACATTTTTATGAATGATAATGTATCAAAATGGCCAATTAGAAAGGTAATTCATGCAAATTAGTCAAATTAATAAATTAATTATTTACAAAGTAGGAATTAAGGTCTAAAATATCGATAATTTTGGAAATACTAGTAGTCCAAAAACATAACAATTTCGATAGAAATATTGGGATATTATCGATATCAATAAAAACCACAGAAATTGTAAGAAAAACTTGAAAAAATTTCTTGAAACTTTGGAGGATGTTTATTTAGTCAATTACTTATGACTTTATCCCAACAAATTGAAAGGAAATGTATTGCATGATGAGTTCAACTATTTAAGTTGATTATATTGCAAGCTGGCAAACACTGCGAATGTAGAAAATATGTAGCAATTAATGAAAGAAGAGTAAACACACTAAAATCATTTATTTTTAATGATTTACTACAATATTTTATACTTTATACATTGCATGGTAAGATACATGAATGACTTAGTACCACAAAGTTCATATAAGGTTCAGCTTTGAATTATTTACACTAACATCTCCTAAGGTTTTCAGGTTTTTCATAAAACCCCATGAGGTTTTAGAAATTACAAGAACACCCCTATAGGTTTTAAATTGTTTTAACAAAACTCATTTTCATTGATTTTTCATTCAAAGATTGATGATTTTTATACCCAAAAAATTCCTCAAATGATAAAGTTGGCAATTGAGATTAGATTGCATATATTTCATTGAGGTTGCTTTTGTCATTTGCATAAGTTTTTGTCAATGAAATCATCAATTTTTTTATAAATAATCAACGAAAATGGTTTTGTGAAAACAAAATGAAACCTCCAAGGGTGTTTGAGACCTAATAGGGTTTTGTGAAAAACAAGAAACCTGAGGGGGTGTTAGTGTAAATAACTCTTTAAATTTTTCATTGTCTTCATCATCTCGATATTATAGTGATATTTTGGCCAAATATTGTTGAAGTGTGAGAGAAATTATTGACGTCGATATTTTCCGATATTATCATCAATATTATCGATACTTATACGACATGTGTATGGATATATTCCAAAATTTCTTAGACCCCAAAAAACGATATATTTTGTCGATATTTTAGTCTTTGGTTTTAAACACACTGAAATGATTAATTACATAATAGAAAAGAAACACGCTTTGCTAATAAAAATGAATTCAAAGGTAGCTTACCAGCCAAAAGATGTAATTGGGTTCACATATGCATTATCATTCACAAATGCAATATCATTCACATTTGCATCATAGTGTATCAAAATGGCCAATTAGAAAGGTCGTGTCCATGCAAGTTAGTAAAATTAATTAATTACAAAGTAGAAACACACTGAATTGATTAATTATAAAGTACAAAAGCGCTTTGCTAAACATTTCAAAAGTATTACCCGCCAAAAGATGTAATTATCATTCGGACTCTTCTAGAAGTGAGACTTTGAATCTCAAACAATAGACTATACATACCATACAAAAGTATTCTATATCAAACGTTTCTTCATTCTTCTTTATTAACAACTTGCATTATTTCAAGAACTCAGTGTGAACTGTAATCATGATGAATCCAGTTGGAGTTTTTGGGCTTGTTAATGGAGAACTGAGGTTGGCTTCAATAGAGAAAGAATAGTTTTTTAACTAAGAAACTCAATGTTTGCATTGCTATGAATAACCAATTTCCTGGAATTTTTATTTGCACACAAGCTTTTAGGCGTTCAGTGTTTGCATCTCAAGCAATAGCATGACCATGATGCAATTCTGGAGTGCCTATGCGCAATTAGAATGTATATCAACATACATATAACATGTTTTTTATAAGAAAATTCCAAAAAAATAAAATAAATAGTTACATTTTATTTCACACACTTTAAAAGTAGGATAAACTGCTGAATATCCCTATGAATTATCACGCTAGTTGAAATCTACACCCTGAATGAATTTTTCAGCCAATTTAGCATTCGTACTAAATTTTATCGCCAATTTACCCACCACCGCTAGTTTTTAGCAATTTTCATCCAAATCTTTGTTAAAAAAGTCACATGTCATGCACATGATTCGCTATTGAATTAAAAATTGATTTTTTAACCTCTCTCTTATTCTCTCTATCTCTGCCAATCTCAAACCCAGATAGAGATTCTGAATTACAAGCCCAAATCACTAAGATCTTGTGACCATGGCCTAAAATTACAAACCCAAATCCCATTCCTTCAACACAGGTACTTGCGGGTGTATTTCTATATCTCATTCCTCCAACACCATTGGACGAGTTTCTCTTTTTTCTATTAATCTCTTTCTGCCAAGATAGCAGAGACACAAGGGTCATCACCACTAACTTCCTTCAATTAATAATTATAGTGTTGCATAATTTTCTCTTCCTCTTTGGCTATGTGTTTCCTCTCGGGTTAAAATAATTTTTTTAATTTATTTTCAAAACCAAGTAAAAGTTCACCCTGGTCCCTCATCCCAGCTCGTCTCTGTCCCTCCTCTCTCTTCTTTGAAAGTCCTGGATCCATTAATTAAGCTTTTAGCAGTGAGGCCCCACATATCCCTAGGGTTCAGGTGAAGCATTTGAATGGATGTTAAAAGGTTTGGGTGGTTAAGCCCATGAGAATTTCTGGGTTGGAAAAACTTAGGTCAAGGGAGATCAGCTTTTTCTGTGCTTAAACTGGCTTTGTTTCTTCATTTTGGGTAAACTACCAAAGAAACGGGGAGAGGGGAGAGAGAAGAAGAGATAAGGAGATAGCGAGAGGGTTTGCTGGGTAATCTGGGTTGCAGGGTTGGCATGTGTTATTTACGTGGTGTTTTTAACTGAGATTTGGATGGAAATTGCCGAAAACTAATAGTGGGAGGTAAATTGGCGATAAACTTTAGTACGAGTGCTAAATTGGTTGAAAAATTAATTCTTGGTGTAAATTTCAACTACTGTGATTGTTCAAGGGGAGTATTCGGCAAATATTACATTAAAGTAAAAATGAGGAACTCATATAGTTTTGTAATGGATAGAGTGAGTAAAGGGTTCAATGATTTGATCCTTTTATACACGAATGGATGATTCAAATTAAAGCATGCTCATTTTATCGAAGCGTTATTGTTAAATTCTAGTAAATTCCATTTATATATATATATTTATATTCACTTAACGAATGGAGTATTTTACTCATCGAACGACGCAATTTTTGTTCGTTAGGTAAATTCATATTAGTTTGAGTATTAAAAAAGTCGCTTTTTTAATTATAAAAAAAGACAATTATTTTATGAAATTTTTTATTACGATAAATATATTAATAGTGATGAAGCAAATCACAAAAGAATTAATAGAACAAATCAAAAGTTAATTGACTTTATTCTGAGTATTAAAAAAAGTCAATTTTTAATACTAATCTAGTAAATTTGATTTCAGGGTTAGTGTTGAGATTTTAAGGGAAAACTTAAACCACCTTCAGATAATCTTACATGAAAATATTGAAGGAAAAAAATGTAGTCTACCTTCCTACAAATTGTTCTATAAAGACCTTTTTTTCTTTTTTTTTTTTTTTGGGTTACATTGGGAGGAAAACTTAGGTGTCAAGTAGGTAAGAAGGGGAAGGCCACCACTGTGGTACCTGCTCTCGATAACTATATGAAGACTTGAGGGACACCCTTATAGGACCCACTCCATATTGTGTTTCACTAATCCAAGCCGTATATTTTGTAGATACTTATTCAAAGATCATCTCTCTACAAAAAAATCACTTGAATCCAATATCATTTGACCACTCAATTGAATTATTAAAATTTTAGTACTTTCTTGAAACACCGTATTCTTTGAATTTTTTTTCCAAGGATGATCCATGGATGTATACTTAAAAAATAGATGGTTTGGATTGTTGAAAAAAAAAAATCGTAAAGGCCCCTAAAGGGTGTCCCTCAAATGAAATTATTGGAGGGATCCATCAATAAAAAGGGACTATATATATACATTTAATTATTTATTTATTTATCTATATACATGCATTCGTTTGGTAATTTACCATTTAAATGTGACTTGTTCCTTCCAAACACATCATTGCATTCGATGAGTAAAATGCACATTTAAATGGTAAAATTTCCTTTTTCACTACCTTTACCCACCAATGTGTCTCTTTACTCAGCCAATGCAGCGATGGGATTTATATGGTAATAGAGGCTTTCGTTTGGAAATTTATAATTTAAACATGATTTTTACTTTCCAAACACTATCCTTGCATTCAATGAATAAAGTGTGCGTCTAGAAGGTAAAATTGTCCACTCCCTTCACCCACAAATGTGGCTCTTTACTCAGCGAACGCGGGGTGGCATTTATATGGTAATGGAGGCGTTCGTTTGGTAATTTACCATTTAAATGTTATTTTTATTTTCCGAAGACCATCCTTGCGTTTGCTGAGTAAAATGCACGTTTAAATGGTAAAATTTCCTTTTTCACTACCTTTACCCATAAACATGTCTCTTTACTCATTGAACACGAAGGTGGTGTAATTGAGGCGTTTGTTAGGTAGAAGAAGTGTGGAGTCTTTAGCAGCACAGTATGGTTGTCGATCTTCGACAAGGAGAGATCCTACAGAAGAAATAGAGAAGAATCCATCCTCAAGCTTTGGATGCTGGTATGGTACTATTGAAGACTCTCCAATGCTTAAGTGAGCAAGTGTGAAATGTATAGTAATTTTGGCAGAGTAACAGTAAAGGTGAAAAGTAATTACCCCTTTTATCTAGGCACTATTCTTTTATATATATATATATATATAAATAAAGAAGTGAAAATGATAGTTTTCACAAAGTTTCGATATGGGACTTTGTACAAATTGTCATGGTGGTGACACGTGTCCATGTCTCTAGGTTCTGTAGTTGAGAAAATCGACAAGCACCTAAACCCTAAACCCTATTCTATGCATTCGGCTACGCCTTAAACGGCGTCGAATTATCTAACGTGCACTATCTACGGCAAGCACACAATTACTAGAATAATACGAAAATGATAAAACCGATTGCAAATTAACATAAATAAAAGCCACAAATGGGCACTTGTCTTAACAAAAATTGGCTAAACGGCTGAATGGTGTGAGAAATAACTAACGCACAAATTAAACCCTATAAATCATGCAAGCGTAGTACGAGTAAGTAGGGATCGTTCTATTCCGGGGATTAGGAGGGATGCTAATCAACACAAATTAAACTTATTAAACTGGAAACTAAGTTAAGGGAACAATGATTGGGGGGAATTCTGACGATTTAGACTAAAGTAAGACTAACAACAGCAAACAACTAAGTTGTGAATGAAATATGGATTAAGGGATAGCTAGAGGATTCTTCTCCACACATGGAACATATGCACACAAATCGATCTCCAGTTACTCTTTCTATAAAGTATGAATGACAAAGCCCCAAATTAATTGTGAATGCACTAATTAACTCTCAGATTTTCCTAAGTTCATTGAATTGGACTCAGCGACGCAATCAAATTATCCTTATCAAGTTCCCTATATGAACAGCATGATAGAGATACATATCAAAGATCATTAAATTCTATGAAAATCATAAGCCTTGACAAGACAATTGTAACTATGAAAAGCATGATACTCCTGCCAAGAATTTACTTAACACAATCATGACTAATGACTTTTACTACTTGTGAATATAAGTTCATAACGATTAGGTGAAATTCCCTTATATTCTAGCATCAAATCCCTGCATACAAACTAAGTATGCATCCTTAATAAACATGCAAGAATAAGTCCTCAATAAAACAGAAAAGTAAATCACATTCATACTTTATGAAACCATAACTGGAAGTAATCAATTCATGTAAAACATATGTCCATGGCTTCGAATTCACCTCTAACTAAGAAGAAATTCAGTTACACATGTTCATAATAATTGAAAAGCAATCTAGAATAAACATTTAAACTAATCAAGGGAAGAACTCTGAAAAACCCAATGGATGCAGCAGGTTCCGGCTCCAAGTTCTTCTTCTCCCTTTCTCCTTTCTTGCTACGGCACCAAAAGAACTCCCTTCTCCTGCGGCAACCCCTCCTTTATATATGTAGTAGATCTAGGGTAAAAGGGCCCAGCAGAAACCCACGAAATTAGGGTTTTTAGGTTTCCTAATCTGAAATTAATCCCCCCATTTTCCAGCTAGAATTTAGGTCGAATAGGATTAGGATAAGGTAAAATAAAATAAAATCAGTTAGGGTTTTTTACTTCCCAGAAGCTGATTCTTGAATTAATTTCCCCATCTTTTTAGCACATTCCTAGCCTCTTCGAACTTCAAAAACGTCCATCCATCTTGGCCCATGCATATGCTATCCATTCCAAGTCCAAAACTGCTCTAAAATGCTCCAAAATGCCATTTCTTGCCAATCTTGCCATCTGGACCTACAATAGTACGAAAATAAGCTAAATCACTCTAATAAATGGGAATTAACTAAGTAAATGCAAAGAAATAAGATAGCAAAGTTGCATAAATATGCTCCTATCACTGAATTGTTCAGAATAAGTTAAAATTACAAAAAAGAAACAGATCTAGGAGGAAGGAGGATTGGCTATCAAAGCTTCGGAGTCAGCGACCGAAGGCTCGACATTTGAGGCATCGGCCAACCATCTTGTCCGATTTCTTTTAATATGTTAAGAGATTCCAGGCCTGCCAAAAACATGGACCAGTGCAGCATGTACCAGCTTTAGAATTGCATCCAAGACAGCCGACGGTCCAGGAACGGCCTCTTCCTCCTCACCACTGCTCAAGTAAGTGTCGTCTAAAGAATCGGCATCTATGTCCTCGCCCTTGTACGCCTTCACCATTTCTTCGGTCACCCTTTTGGGCAACGATCACGAAGGAAGTTGAGATTCAGCTTTTTACAGGCATTGAAGCGCTTGAATCGATATATAAGATCCTCGCATTGCTCCATGACCTCCTTGTCGAGCAGCACCGTGAACTCCTCCTAGCTTCGGTAGTCAGCTACGGCTTTTTTCTTGGCATCCTCCACCTCCGTAGAACGAGACCGAACGACATCCTCCTTCACCGCCTCCGCCACCTCCTTAGCCTCCTAAGCATCCACTACTGCCTTCTTAGCCTTGGCCAACTTGGAGAAGAGCTCTGCAATCTTCGCAGTGTTCTCATCAGCACGACGATCGGCATCCTGAATAATCTTGCCAGCTTCAGCAAGCTTAGCTCGACTCTCATCAGCTTTCTTTTGATGCCGTTCGGCAACACCAATGGCCCGCTTCATGTAGAGCCACATCTCCATGTCAGCCTGCAACACAACACAAGGTCAGTAAATGAAAATCGTAAAAACACTTGAAACATACAAACAAAATACTTATCGCAGCTTGAAGACGGAAGCTTCGACCTGCTTGCTCACGCATCGTCTTGGTGGGCAGCTGCTCCAGCTCCGAGAGCTTCATCCCTGCCCTGTCGATCATGTAGTTGACAAACGGCATGACCTTCCGAGGGCACACCACATTCACAGGCTCGGCATCGCCCTCCGCCTCATCGTCAAGAATGAGGATGGCTGCCTTTTCTCGGTGACTTAGAGGTAGGCCTCCGTGACGGCCTAGACTTCGACCGTCCTTTTCTCCCTGCGGCGCTCGTCCACAGTCACCTGCTCCTCCGAAGCCCCTTCGGCCTGACGTGGTGGCTTTGTCTTCAGCCTCGGAGGGCCATCCTTCTTCTTCTAGGGAGCTCACGACTCTAGCCACCTCCTCGTAGCCTCAGACATTGCCCTGCCACCAGGCACTGCACGAAACAAGATAAGTTAGAAGAAGAACGGCATTTAACAAGAACATAATATGTGACATGCCAAATGGCATCACTTACTCTTCCTCCTCTCTTCTTCTTCCTCTTCTTCTTTTTTCCTTTGTGCTTGCTCAGCCTCAATAATCAGACCAGACCAGCCTTGAACAGATTGACGAAGCCCAACAAATTCTTGAAGAAACGATATTCTTCGGCAATCTTTGACCGAACACGCTCGATCGCCTCAATCTCCCACTTGGATGCGGTCGGCCGTTTCAAGGACACTGAAACAAAAGAAATTATCCAACACAAGTTAGTTTCGGTAGTTAAGCTAATTAAAAACAAAAACAAAAACAAAAAAAAGCGAACTACCGAACGAAACCCTATCACCTACCGATTGTTTGAAAGGTAGTTGGGATGTGCCTCTCAACAATCACTCCTGGTGCCGATTCCCAAGAGCCTGACACTAGCACTCGATGTCGACGCCAGGTCTTCTGAGAGCTCGACACCTCGACAATGAAGTGCCGACACTGACCTGCCGAAAGAGAGTTCGACTCGACCCACCCCTCTTGATCAGCGCTCTTCGCCCTCATTACGCTGTACAGGTGGGAGAACTGCCCATAAGTTAGGATAAACTGTCCAAGGGCGTAGTCGATCTGAGCCAGGATCTTCTGCACTGAATGCCTCAACGGCAGCCGAAGCCCATGTTTGAAAACATCGGTGAAGAAGACCACCTCATTCTCCAGATCACTCAACAACTCTAACGGCCTTGGGATTCGCATTCTTATCGAATATAGAACAGCCATGGAGGCATTAGTCTTGGACGCCTCACTTCGGCGACCAGACGTGGATGGTTGACCACTACCTACTTCAACCACTACAACACTCGAAGTGCTCCCAGAATCGGCACTCTCAAGATTGGCACTCTCAAGCTCTGCAATAAAGCTCGCCGAAGCCGACCCTCAAAAGCCCTCGGACTATCACTATATTTCGATTTGGTATCTGACATATACAAACAAAAACAAAAGGAAACTAAATGCCACACAGATCCAAACGGCTATCCTAACGCCTAAAAGCTCATGTTCATCCATGTTCATGTACATTCATACATGTTCATGCAACACTCGAGAAATTTGATGCAAAACGAAGAACAATACGGCCACATACCTTGTTCACAGGGTGGTAGGAGATCGCCAGAAATCGCCACCACCGTACAATCCTTAGCCGGAAATCGCCTATACTGTCACAACACTAATGCCGAAAATCGCCTCTCTCACGCTCTGATTGCTCTTCAAAATCTCAAGTACTTCTCCCATCGTCCCTCCATATATTATAAGATGAACCTAACATTGGGATGCGAAATGACGCGACCCTTCGAAACCTTCCCAACACGTGTCACACATGCACAAAGGAGCCCAAGAGTCACCGTTTCAGATCTCAAACCCTTCGATTCTCAGACTTTTCAGAGGGCCAAGTCCACTAACGAATGACATGCACACATTGGTTGAGTTCTCACTCCCTCTCGTGCTGAACGGCAGGCACACATTGGTAGAGTCCTCACTCACCTCTCGTGCCAAACGATAGGGCACACATTGGTCGAGCTCACACTCCCTCTCGTGCAGAACGGTAGGCACACATTGGTCGAGTTCTCAGTCCCTCTCGTGCCGAATGATAAGGCGCACATTGCTCAAGTTCACACTCCCTCTCGTGCCAAACGGTAGACAGACATTGGTTGAGTGCTCACTTCCTCTCGTGTCGAACGATAGGGTGCACATTAGTCGAGGTCTCACTTCCTCTCATACCAAATGGCAGGCGCACAAAGATGTTGTTTTCTCCCACTCTTAACGCCTTCGGCCCCTGCTGCCGTTACCTTTCTAATTTTCCAAGCTCCCCCTTGATCGGAGACTTGGGGGACTACATGACTACAATCGGCAAGACAAGGGATGACACTCGTGTCCAGGTTAGAATGCCGAAGATCAAGGACAATCAAGTTCCCAACCAAGAAGTACCTTCTCAATTGAAAACTTGGGGGACTCCTGTTTGTACTATATCTGACCCTTCACTCGCATCACGACATGTGGCAAGCGAATGAGGTTAAGACCAACCTTGTGAAGGCGCGTTGAATAGTCCAATCGACATGCCTTGCCGATTCATACATGTTCTTCAATCGGCAATGGCTCCCACTCACTCTCGAACAGCATCCTTTGGCATTATATGCCGAACGACCTTGAGGGCGCAATCAGGGCGCCTACCAAATTGTACAAGACAACCTCGGAGACCTCGTCAAAGCTTGTCGAGACGCGTGTCGACCGCTGAAGCCACTCCCACGAGTTCCTCATCGAAACTAAGTACTAAAAGATCACTAAACACCCTCTATAAATAAAGCCCTCTGGCCCCAGCCACAGGGTAAGACTGCCTACTCGAACTGTGCTTCCACATTCAGTATTTAGCTCTTAGTCGCTAACTTTGGCATCGGAGGGTCTTCGGCCAACACCACACGAGCGCTCAAGACCTCACCTGCAATTTTCTCTCTTCAGCTCGGACCCAGCGTCCATTTCAAAAGTACGACGCCATTGGAAGAAGGCCCCTCCGGTCCACAGCCATCCACATCACTTGTACGTTACCCCTATCACTATCTGTTTCGTTTTAGCGCGAACAATAATAATACATATATATTTTAAAACAAAGCCTCTTATTCAATTCAATATATATAAAAATATAAAAATAATTAATAAAATAAAATGCTTATAATTACTAGAATATTACTATAAACGTAAAACAATATATATATATATATATCCAAGATAATTTACTTATAAATGTATATAATAATGTTTATTCCTCTTTAATAAACATTTTGTTTAATTTTTAAATACGAAATCTTACACCAATAGATCGCACACCCATAAATTCATAATTTGGATAATAATGGAAAATGGCGAAATCAATGGTTGAGTCAATTAATTAGATTAATTGATTAAAGAGTTAATTAATTATGTTGAAATAAAATGGGCACTGAAATGGTTTGAGAAACTAAAAGCCCATGGGTTTTAGCAAAAGGGGCTTTAGAAGAATGAAGTGAGATAAGTTGGACCAAAAGGCCCAAGTGGTCCATATCCCCACTATTGCTGTCCATATTGACAAGGAGAGAGCCTTAGGGTTCTCATGTGCTTTTATAAAAGCACCTCTTTACCTCATTTCTCTTCAGGGTTTTGAGTTTTCAAACAGGTAAGGAGGAAGTGAGAGAGAACATCAAATCTCTCACATCCTGGGAGGCTAAAAAAATGGGTCCATCAAGGAGGTGTTGCTAGCACCACATCGCCTTCTTGTGTATCATCATCCATTCCAAAGAAGAGCTTGGTGTGGAGTCTTTGGAGGTCACTATTTTGTGACTTGGAGAAGAAGAAGAAAATGGATCTTACCACCATCCTTTGGTAGAATACTTGGGTTGGTCTTAAGTTACACTCAAAGGGTGAGTTCCTCTCCATATTTATCTTTTTACTTTCTTGCAAAGTAGTTAATGTAGGACATCAACCCTCTTGAGCTTTGATATCCTGTTTGGGCCGGGTTGAAATTTGACCGAGTCAAACCCGAGATCTAACAATTAAATTAACATTGAGCCCAACCAGTGGGCCTAATCAATAAGGTCAAATAGAAGTCCAAAATCATAAATGTGGCAGCATATCTATATGTTGCAGAGTATCTACATGTGGCAGACTACATCAATCTGGCCAAACACATCAATATGGCCGAGAGCATATAAGCGATGGAAAGTGAAGATACGGTCGAATGACTAAAAGCGGCCAAATACATAAAATCAGCTAATGCTTAAATGAGGAGAGAGATAATCCATAGGAGGATTTTCTCATAGGTTACAATTCAAATATAGAAGGAATTATTCCAGCTTGATGGCAACTGAAGTTATTGTAGGAGAGCTCAAGATGGAAGGAAAATCAAATCAATTATAATTATTCACATTAAATCACATGCATGAGACAAGGGATTAAAGACATTTTGGAGCAATTATGATTGATTTGAAGGCCAATTGACGACCGACCAAATTGACACGCACCGAAGCACCTATAAATACCAAGCTTATGGAAGAGAGAAAGGAACCCCCGACACAACACACAACTTTTTATTTTACATTCTCTTCAATTTCTATCTTAGGAGTAGCATAATGTAGCCAGAGCCTAGTTCTTATTTTTTCCACTCTAGTTTTTGTAGATTTCAATTATGCCTTTACATTCTTGTTCTTGTTTTTCAATTCTACTTTAATTACAATAACTTCAATTCATGTTATCTTTATTGTTCTTCGCAATCTAGTTTACTTTCCACCCTTTACTTTATGCACTCGCATTTCAATTATTTAATTTATGCAATCTACATTACGCACTGGTCTTTACATTCTTTATTTTACGCACTTTAAATTATGCACTCGTATTTACATTCTTTATTTTACACACTTTACTTTACGCACTCGTCTTTAAATTATTTATTTTACGCATTTTACCTTCAACATTTATATGTTAAATTCAAGCACCTTTTACTTTATGCACGTTTTCTTCGTTTCATTACATTTCAACTTCAATCTTCATGTCCACTTACTCCACATCATTTGGTTGCTCACATAAAGCCTTGACTCTGAGGTAGTGAAAGAACCTAGGCCGTGAGGAGGTTCCATGCTCAGCCTAACAATCGTTTGATTAAAGTAAGATTTCGGACACATCATTTACTCACATTCCATTCAAACCTAATTCGTGGCTTGGTGGTGGCATGCCCTGCACTCAATTAAAGAAGGACCCAAAACTCCTTCAATTGGCACACCCGACCGAAAAGAGGGAAACATGTCCTTTTAAAGGTATTGACTTTGGGCTCTAGTTTTGCATGAAGTCTTTCGTTGCACAACTTGTAATATTTTGTTGTCTACACGCCTTAATGAACCTATATTTTTATGAAAAATCCAATCTTTCCTTCAAGTGGTATCAAGAACAAAATGTTCAAAGGTTTATGCGCCTTACGGGTTTTGGAAAAGAATATGGGTTTGATTTTTTAAATGCTTTAATATATGTGTTGATTTGAAGCCTATGTGTTTGGGGCTGTTGAAAATCACGGTCGGATTTGAAGTTTGCAAAGATATTGCGGCCGGGGTTTGGCGGGCTATGCGAAGAAGTCTGCAGCCGGGGCAGTTGAAAATCACGGCCGGTTTTGGTGGAGGAAGCTGGGCCTACGAGACGTGGCCGGGCAATTTAAACATGACTGGAGATTAAGGTCGGCCAGATTTTATTTTTTTATTTTTATTTTTTGCAAGGTTATGGCCGGATGAAATTGTCGACTGGGGTTTGACAGATGGAGCCCAAGGAGATGCGGGCAGGGTTCGATGGATGGAGGCCAAGGAAATCTCGGCCGGGTTTTGAAGAATATGGCGGCTAGGTCTTTGGTTTTGAACAGACAGGGCTTTGGAGAATGGCGGCAAGGGCATTTGTTTTCTTGGCAAATTGGGCTGAAGGGCTTTGAGTTGGAAGTTTAATTATATATATAAGTATGAATATTGTGGCTGGGCTCTTAGGCAAAGGAGTGTTAGAGTCTTGTTGGTTTGGAATATTAGAATTGTTGCTGCTAGGTCTGAAGGTATATTGAAGGGTTTGAAGGTTAAATATATATGAATTATAAAACCCAAGCGGAAAGATTAATATTCATGCATGTAAAAGTTCATGTGTTGTGCGGCCAACCAACTTCAATAACAAGGGGGCCCATATGGGTAAATTAATGAATGTATATATATATATATATATATATATGTGAATGAATATAAAGATTGAATTAGGCTCCTCAACGGACCAATTTTAGAGCTCCAAGAATTCAAAGATCATGAAGGGGGCACCCTCATGTCATGCCAAGAGATCAAAGGTCTTAGCTCAAGATACTGATTCAAGCCCAGGATTTTCAGAGAATTATATGCATGCGACAGAGGCCTTGCAAGGAAAGAAATCAAGGAGGTTGATAATGTTTCATAGCAAGGAAGAATCAATCATGTCAGAGTGTCTCCATCAATGTAATCCCACGGATTTAGGGGGGCTTCAAAAGGAATGATTTTTAAGAAGAGTTGACATTTGGCCATTCAATGGCCAACCCATAAGCTGACAGATGCCCTATATGAACCTCACCAAACGAAGGTAGAAGACACAACATCAAACAGACAAACCTACTTTTCGTCTTGTACTTTTCTTTTCCTAGATTTAGGATTTTACTTTTCAAGCACGTAGTGTAGTGAGTTCTTCCTTTTTCTAGTGTAAGTTTATATTTTCTTGTCATTTAAATTCTTGTTCGATTTACATTTCTTGTCATTTAAATTCAAGTTTATTTCGATTACTTTACTTTTCATTGTTATCGCACTTCAATTAATTTTAATTTCAAGTTTATTTTATTTTATCGTTCTTATCGTTTTTATTTCGTTCTTGCTTTATTTGTCGCACTTCAATTATTGTCTTTACGTTTAGACGCACATTTAATTTAATTGCACTATTTTTACTATAAACCCTAAAAATCACATAAACATCTGAACAAAGTCTAACCCTCCTCGAGCCCGAGGAAGTGAAAGAACCTAGGCCAAGATGAGGTTTCTTGCTTGGCCGATCAATCGTTTGATTAGAAGTTAGAAGCGCAACACATCCATCACGTTCCATTCAAGCCCAAATTCAGGGCTTGGTGGTGGCATGCCCCACATTCAAAGAAGAAGGACCAAAAGTTCCTTCCATCGGCCGCCCTGGCTGAAAAGAGGGAAACACTATGATTGTATGAATCTTTGTAAACCACATGTTATAAGAGTTATAAAGGTGGGAGAGGCATGAAATGAAAAGGCACGAGCATGAACACAATAGAGGGGCTCACGACATAGAGGGTATTTTTTGTTTTTTTTATGTATTTGTTTCTTCTTCCCATGAAAGTATGTTGTTTGATATAGTTTTCTTAGTTGATACCATGAAAAACTGTGGAGACTCGGATTTTTAAAAGTATATATATTTGGGGATTAAATGTTTTGCTATCTATTTAATTTATAATTTATACACATCTATTTGGTATATGCTATACTTTCATAAATTGATAGGATCCGTCCCGGATTTCCCCTCAGAATCAGTGACGAACCTTGCTTCCTATCAAACATCTACCCGATGCTAGACCCACTTTACTAAAAACTGTGTAGCCCTACTTTAAACTTCTACCGAAATTTCAGTAGTCTCCCATCAAGGCTTACAGCACACTCGACCAAATGTGCCCGGATATTTACCACATGCCGGAAAATTCAAAACCATGTGTGATAAAGTACTAGTAACCAAGTGAGCCCACACGCCGAAAAATCCAACATCATGTGTGGGTAAAGTAACCAATATCAAAGGGGAGGTACACAAAGTTGTGCTAAAGGCACTCCAATATAACGTATTCCACATCCCAACTCACATATCATAACCATATCCAACTTCCAAATATTCCAATATACTCAATCCCATATACATAGACATCTGGACAATAATAGCGTCCATAACTCAATACATAAAAATTTATACATAGTATAGATCACAAACTCCCTTGCAATACTTTTTCCAATAACATAGCCAAGTTCCCAAACTCGTTTTCACAAATATCCAAATCAAATTATCCCATATATCATATCCATAACTCCAAATATTCATAAACTCCAAATATCAAATAAACTCCAATAACTCCATAAAATACTATAATCCACAAAATAAACAATATTATAATTTCATAAACTCAATAATCAAAGGGTGATGATTTTCTCACTCCCTTTTTGTCCACTTACACTCTATTTTGTTTTTTAATAGTTTTTACTATAACAAAAAAGGGAGTGTAAGTGGAGAAAAGAGGAGTGAGAACATACAAGTTCTAACAAAGGGAGTGTAAGTGGATAAAAGAGGAGTGGGAAAATCAGCTCCCTAATCAAAATAGGCCAAATTACATAAATATGCAAGACAATCCATAAAATTCTTTCATAATCAAACTCCATATCATCAATCTATATACTTTATTAATACCCATAATAACAATAATAATCCCTGGAAAACCCATGTCACAATCCGATAAAATCATAATCTAAAACCCAAAATTCGTTTACTTTATAACTAACAATAAGTTCTTGTAATCTCATAAGATACTATAAAACTGTAAGCAAAACATATATCAAATCCCAATAAACCAAATAAGCCAAGTTCTAAATCCAATCTCACTTATGCATGCAATTCCATATTTGAAAAATAATGCTCATTTAAAAACAAATGTCCACTCACAACAAGTCCACGTTGCTCAATCCTGAGAGAGCTCTTTCTCTGGAATACGTGAAGCAAGAGTACCTAATCAAGATAATGAATGGACTTAATAAATATGTGTACCCAACAACGAACTTTTACCCAAACATTAGTTCCCGGGTCTCAAAGTAAGTGTGCCCGACTGCCAGAGAGTTTCTAAGGCCAATCTAACGCCTTTCGAAAGGTGGAACGACCTCGGAAGGCTCATGGTCAACCTTTGATTTCCAATCCAAAAGTTCACATGGGTCCAACAAAGTCCACTAAATATGTCCTATAAGTTTGTTCTTGATCGAGCGGTCGGATGTAAGCCAATCACATGATCAAACGGCAATCTCTTCGCCTAACACTAGAATCATTGATTCGGAGTAACCGCGACTCCGATTCTTGATCCACAAGTTCCTACATGATCCTAGAGGTGCAGAGAACAACATATTTGAAATTGGGACTGATCAAACGGTTTGAACCTATCAAACCAGGATATCGCATATTAGGTGCAATATTCGATCGACTGTCAAACAGTAGCCAATTCCAAATCCGAGCATATCGTCGTGCTCAGGACGACAAGGGGTATATTCTAGAACTTAATGGGTCACCACACAGTGGCCCACGCTCAGCCACCCGCCGCCGACAGTGGGTGGGTGTCTTGAGAAAATTTTGACGACGTAAAATTCTGGAAACACCCTACAATACCTATACCAAAACAGCAAGTGCAACTAGATGAGTAATTTTGGTTCTTGGACCACGACCAAAAAGTGGCTGGAGCTAATCGAATCAAACCCAAATCATGAACCCTACAATACCTATACTCATACTATTAGCTAAAGGACGTCAATGGGATGAAGAACCATACCTTGGTCGACAGAAATGGTCACCAGGATCGCCGAAAATGGCGTCAAAAAAACTGAAATTTTTAGTTGATACCGTCGACTATCTTCGTGGTTTCGAGCTACGAAAAGTATTGGGTTGTGTAGAGGAGGAAGAGACGATTCCATTACAATAAGAATTGTCAGATTTGGTCCCCAGACGGCGACGAAATCGCTACTTAAAGAATCTGTGTTGCACGGAGAAGAGAGAGAGAGAGAGAGAGCTGATCTGTTTTAAAACCCAACTTCAAAAATTTACGGTTGTGCCACTGCACTTCCGTTACCACAATTTCTTCGTTATAACTTTGATTTGAGCCCACTACATGTCTACCAACTCATGAGAGTGAGCTTTACGCAATGGTGCCACTCAAATCCCCAAAATCATTCCGGCTTAAAAAGTGACTAGGGTGCCCCTACCCCACAGGAATATTTAAATTCAAAAATAGAAATAAATTGAATAAAACGATTAAACTGGGTCAGAGCGTTACACGTTGAGGGATCCCTCAAATAAGCTTATTTGATGAAAACTTTTGTAGGACCCACTGCGCATTGTATTTCACTAATCCAAACTGCATATTTTGTAGATATTCATTCAAAGATCATCTCTACAAAAATCACTTGAATTCGATATCATTTGACTACTCAATTAAATTATTGAAATTTAAGCACTTTCTTGAAGCACCATGTGCATTGATTTTGTAGATCTTAATTAGACACCTTAAGATTTTCAATTTGCTTGAATTTTTACAAGGATTATCTATGAATGAAGATGTGGAAAATAGATGATTTAGATCGTTGAATTTTTATTTTGTAGGGGACCTTAAAGAGTATCCCTTATATATATATATATATATATATATATATATATATATACACACTTGATGAGACCTAATCTTTCAAATCAAAATTAAGTCGTTCATTGGAGAAGTAATTAGATTATCTCTCCTAGTCCTTCCACCATGGTGGACTCATTGCTAAATACTTACTTACAAGTACAAAGCCAAGACATTGGGCTACTTTTAGCGATCAGTACTTGATTTGGCCCATTATAAACAAGTCTCTTGTTCAGTGTGATGAGGTTTG